GACTTTATAATTTTAGGGTCATATTGGTTTGAATGCAGGACAGAGGGATGTAATGTGCAACTCTTTATGGAAAATACTTTCCTAGGGTATCTATGGCAGCATTAATAGGGTCATGGAATGGTTTGGGTTGGAAGGAACCTTAAAGATTATCTTGTTCCAGATAATAAAGATTATCTCTGTCACAGGCCCAGGGACACACTCCACTTGCACAGGTTGCTTTAGGGATGCATTCCAAGAATTCTCATGTCTTCCTGTTCTAATTGTATGATTTCCTTAAAATGCTAATCATTCTAGCTGGAGAAACAACAACTAAAATACTCTTTACCCTTTTTGTATTTTAAAACACTTACTTGCCCAAGAAGAGTCAAGAATTGAAATGAAGATTGCCAGGAAGGAATGAAAGGTGAATTCTACAAAGTTTAACCTGGAGAGGTGTGAGTGTTTTAGGAGGGTGGGAGGACTCTTTTTGCCCCTGCCCTCTGAAGATGTATTTTGGATCCTGTATTTTGGTAACAATTGTAAAGGAAACAAAGAAAGCTCTTATCAGTTTGATGCTCAGCAATATAAAACCAGAAGTATGTGCATTGAATGTGTCAACTAACTTCATTCTTCTTGTGTTTCTGCAGAGGTATTTTCTTTGAAAGACCCTAGTCAAGTCTGGCCACTCCTTATTTAAAGTTTTATTTAAATTCAGAATTATTCAGTGTATATATAAAATTGTTAGTTTTGTAGCATGGCTTTTGTTTCACTACATTTCAGGAAACATTATTTTTCTTTTTTTTCCAGTATTTTCTGCAACATGAGAAAACAAAAAGCAAATATTACTGTTAGGGACTTCAAACTCCAATTGCTTGCAAAAAGTGTCAGAGGTGAAGATGAAGAATTCCTTAAGTATGTTTTTATACACAGACAGCTTGAAGATACTTTGCCATTTGGATGACTCCTTGACCTTTTGGAGTAAGTATGACAGTTAAGATAAGCTGATGAATAAATGCTTATCCTGTTTGCAGGAATTAGGGTATTGGTCTATAACTGAGCATCATGGTGGCATTCTCTATAGAAGGCCTGAGCTTCCTCCATAGTACATGGAGAGAGTTGAGAATTCATAAGAGCCAATATGATCATTGGGAATTTCTGTTTTAGCCACATGGATATGGTTAAGCAAGGAAGAGAGGTGTAACATTTAGCCTCTTTGACCTAAGACTGCAGGGAAGCAGACTCAGTGCTGATGTGTTAATAGCTTTCAGGATACGAGAGAAACAGTTTAGAGGCTTTGAAGATGTTTAACCTACTTAGCTCACCTACAAAAAGGATAATCTGTTTGCCAGCTTCCAGAGGATTATAAACAACCCTTAGCAGTCTCCTGCAAAACTTGCTTTGGAGAGATCATTCATGCTCAGAGCAATCTATCTCACCAAGTGTGTGATTTAGCACTTCATTGTGGCTCAAAACTGAGCCAAACTGATTGTCCTCATGCAGCGGGCTTTGGTTCATTTGATAGGGCTGTCTCAGAGCATGGGACTCCTTTAGGGAATAAGACAGGAAGGTGTCCTCCAACCATGACATTCAATCTGTGTGTTCAGACTAAAGCTATTCCAAAGTTAACCCCTGAAATGTGCATTGAGGCTCAGCATCCAACAGCTACACAACATTTGCTTTATGAAAGGGCTTCATTTGGACGAGTCTGCTTGCACACAGGCATGAGCACGTGCAAAACCAGCAGCACCAGCACCCACCTTCCTCTCTGGTCTCTCTTGGACAACTTGTACTAAATATACACTCCTAAGAGGAACACTAATTTTCCTTTGACATTACAAGAGATTGAGATCTTCTAGATCTTGGCAAAGCTAAAAACCAAAGAAAGGTTTATTCTGGCAGGAAACTCCCTGTGGAGAGAGGTATTCCTCAGTGCTGCTGTGTTACTTGGCAAAGCACAATTCTTTAACTGAATTAGACAACAAACCATTGTTTCCTCCTCCCCCATCTTCTTTATGGGCAGATTTAAACCTTATATATAACCTGTGATAGAAAAGAGACCAATTCACTTTACCCCTATTCCATCTTTCCAACTATAGCAGAGTTCTCTAGCATTAAAGACCTGTTGTAGTTAACCTCTAAATAGAAAACAAAGCAATGTGGACAAGGTCAGGTGAAAAATCAAGACACTGAAGGTAACTAAAACATAGCTCTAAAGTACAGCTGCAATGAGCATTATGCATTGAATAAAACACTTCCTGAGTTTCACGCTAGCAGTGGATGCAGTGACAGTCTCTGTCTTCCAAAGGAAGTAATCAGACACACCTTATATTGCTAAATTAGTCAGTGCAGCCACAGTTACAGAAAAGCAAATGATAAAACTGAGACGTGATGTAAACAGCTGAAGCTCATGATAATGGGTTAGCTAGTTACAACAGTGAGGTAAATATTATATTAGCAAACAGGTCAGAAAATAGGTGTAATTTTCCTCACCTTAATCTTCAAAGCCTGTTTATTACATACAAATAAGACAGCACTTCAGAGAAAATGGAATAGAACAAAATAATCAAATAACGTAGGACATAGATTGTTACATTTAATCATTCCTCACTATAATAAATAACAAGGAAAAAAGGATTCCTAGGTTTTGTTTTTTTAGAGAAACTGAAAAACTAACATAATATTAACAAAATGAGAAGTGTCTCTGAAAGAAGAGTTGACAAACTAAAACCATTATGTGCTTATCCTGCACTTTCAGAAAGGATCCTTATCTTACTGGACATGGAGAGAGAACTGCTCACAGAACTACCTGAACTTCTGACTGCTCATTACCTGTCATAGCTGGGATAAATAAGTTATGGTTAAATCAAGAATTGAAGCAAAGTATATATGATTCCTATTGAAATACAGCCTTTTTGTCCACACAGACACATTTCTCCAATAGTAAGAAATTTTGCAAATATATGACTCTCTTAAGCAAATAGTAAAGCACCTTAAAAGATTTACAGATCTTCAGAGTATGCAGTGTCAAGGCTCAATAAGGTAGAAAACTGAATTTAATCTACTAAGAGCCTGCAGAACAGAACTTTTATGTGTATCAGCCTCTCAAATTTATTTACTCTTTAATATTCCTTGTTTAAATTAATACAGAATTTTTTACTTCATTTTTAAACCACATTTTCAAAGTTCTGTGTGTGGCTCTGCAAACAAATTCAAATCTTGAATTTCATAGTGTAGCAAAAAGCTTTATTTGCAAATTTTTACCTACTTTGGACAACTAATGCTTAGGAAGGCTGTTTTAGCTAGGCACCTTGATTGTAACAATTATTAACTACTGCATTTTTAGAACAGCGTGCTGGAAGAGATGGTTTGGGTATTTGCTGCAGAGACATTTTCAGGAATGGCTTCAGTTTTGCCCCTCCTCCTGTCCAAGTGCCTGTGTCACCATCAGGTCTAATCTGTAACACCACCCACAGCCAAACCGTTCTGGCTCTTATCCTCCCCCCTGCCAGAGCGGTGCAGTTTGATTTGTTGCCAAACACACTGAGAGGTTTGAGTACCTTAGATACCTCCGAGAGTAAAGCTAGCTGGGGAAAAAGAAGCTGGATCGATCTCCCACCTGCCCATTTTAATTGTTACCACCCTTTAGAGAAGGTTTGAACACAGAAACTGGCAGTACCCCACACCCTTTTTGTTTTATTTCTGGCTAACAGAAGATCTTTAACCAGTCACCCATTTGAAAAAAGGTTTTGTGTTTTTTCTGCTCGCATCTTCATTAGAGCAGTCATCCATGACTTTGTCACAATGCAACGTGCTTTACTCATGACTCTCCTCCCGGCTGTCCTGAGGCCTGAAGCTAATGCTCCTGATGGCGGCTGGCATTCACATTGCAGCTTAGCCCGCTTAAGTGTGCCACAGTCTGCCCTCTGTGTGCTCAAAGTCTGCACTGAAGCGGCTTTTTTTTAATTGTATTATTTTTTATTCAATCCATCAATTCCAGCGCAGAGGAATGGCGTTCCTCACCGGTCGTGGGCCGGGTCAGACACGGCCGGGAGGGACTCGCTCCCGCTGGCGGCCCGTGGCAGCGGAACTCCCCCTGCATCGCTGACACACTCCACGCGAGGCCGCACGGAGTGGCTCTTACCGCGGTTCATTTTTGCCGCAGACTACACTGAGACATTGAAATCAATCCAAGGTATTATCTCTTGTAAAAGATCTACAGGTGTTTCACTACCTTCCACCAATTTCAACAAAATTTTAACATGCAAGAGATCTGAATTTAATTTTTACAATGCTAAATAGTTTCCCAAGGAAACTAAACCTCGGACTCATACCACAAAAGTTACAGTTTAACTTGTCCTGTGGCTGCTCCCCCTCCACCAGGGTCGATCTCCCAGCCACAGCAGAAATCACATCGCTGCCAGGGCAAGAATGATATGTAAAAGGAACTGAACTTCAATAGTTGTTAGACTGACAAGTCACAAACACAGCTTTGCAGCATCCCATTTGTGTAGTTGGAAGATACTGATAAATTGTTTAGCTCAAGTCTGAGGGTAACCGAGTTATAATATACAGATTTTTAGGAAAGAATAAACAGAAAAGTAAAAAAAACCCAAACACCAAAAGCTCTTCATTCATACACAGGTAAGTGTTGTCTGCTATAGGATATTTTTTCTTGCATGGATGTAAAAAAAACATAGACTGATGTAGTTTCTGCTAAAGTAAAAGCCATCCTATTTTCATGGCTCAAACCCATAAATTGACTGGAAAGTGCTGGAAATTATAATATGTAATTTCATTAGCATTTAAAAAGAAAAAGCTGTTGCTGTTTCAGTGATGCAGTGGGTCAGGGTTTTCAAAAGCACGGTACGCACATGAGAGAGCAAATAAAATACCACAACGACCATAACTTGCATGCAATACTCTACTTTTTATCACTTAAAGATAAAAGTAGTGATATGTTTATATTAAGAACACATCACTACCAACAAAAAAGCAGACACAAAACCTAATACTGGCAATACCTTTAGTGAGACTCCTCCTCCACATACAAGAATGTCCATAGATCTTCCTGTTCTGGCCAGAGAAATGCTCGCTCACCTCTGGGCATCCTAAGCAAAGAGCTGTGTCAAGTGGTGGCAGCAAAATGAACAGCAGCCACTGCAAATTGACTTTTAGAATGGATTGCACTAGACTATATTTAATATACACATGATTACCTAGACTAAACAGCAGCATTTTGGTTAAGTCACCTTTGGAAGAGAATTGTGCATGCTGTAATTTAGTTCAGTTTAATTTTGCAGGTCTCTCTTCTCATTAAGTTCTAATATGGTTGAAGTATTTCAGTGTGGTTAATTCAGGTCAATACTCCCAAGTATGACTTTGCCAAAGGGGCTCTCCTTTTCACACTCTCGTTTTGTATAAAGCTCTGTCTTGGTGAAATTTATAGACTGTATACATCCCTTGTTGTGGAATATTTCCTTGGGTAGTAGTTATAACAAATTCATATCTGATCACAACTGACTATTTTTAGAGATGTTTAAAGGAAAAAAATGGAAATTTGTTGGTTTAATTATTCAAGGAGATGGTTTTTTTTTCCTCCCCATGACACATGCAGAGCTGGAGTAACCATATATTCCATGACTACTGTTTGAGGAAAGAGAGCAATGGCACCATCCATATATTTAGTATGTAATTCTGAGCCTGGGAAAGATCAAGAACTTGATTCAAATTGAAAAAAAAAATTGAAACAGCAAAATCAAACGTGTTTTGAAGGGAGCACATTCCTGAAATTATCTCCACACATAAATATTATTCACATAAGAAATTCAAGTGAACTGTAATCCTCAAGTCAGAAAGTGCTGCATGATAAGGACTTCCAATGCTGCAGATTAAGGAATACACTGGAAAAATGTACTTGTCTTCCACTCATCTGGAACTATCATTCACACCCATGTAATCCCCTTGATCAGAGAGCACATAATAAATATGGGTTCCCAAACAGTTTATAATACTTGAATTATAAAAAGTCAGACTGGTTTTGTCTCCTCTCCAAAAGTTTGCTTTAGAGGTCAAGAGAAGTCCCTTTGCTTGCTTTGTTTCATAAATTTATTCCAGATTTTATGGGAATGCAACTTTTAAAGTCAGGAACTTGTTCAATAACCTCCTAATTCTAACCCAAAATTTATTTTGTTTTCTAACAGTTTGACAGGCAGCATATTTATATAGACATTTTAGTAATTCAACTTTACCTGATGTGATTTTCAAGCTCCCACATTTGCAGTCTGTATTACATCTGAAATATTCCCAAAGTAGTCAGGAATTCCCAACAGGCCATTCTCTCCAGGTGAATAGTATGCAGCAAATCCTAACAGCAGGCTTGGAAAAATCAGCAGTATGATTTATGTAATACCTATATATCAAAAGGATTAACAGCTAAGATTTTCATTGTGTTACTAGCAGCCAAAAGGTTTTACCTCAGCAGTGGTTTGTTGTTCTGGATGAGAATGATCATACTGCTTGCTTTCTTAAGCTGCTTAGTGTTTACACAATTGTTATTTGGAATTGGATAAGCCTTCTTACCATTTTTATGGTTTATGATCCATGGATATAACTGTTCTTCTATGCATGATCTTTTTTTCTGTTTCTCTCATGTCCCTTTAGATCCTGCAGTAAGCAAAGGCCCAATTTCAGCATGACTCTTAGGGATCTGTTAAATGCCATACTGTACACTCAAGCACTACTATTTAATACTTGACTGCTGTGATTGAATTGTCACAGTCTCAAGAATCACTGGGCTAAGATCAGCAGGAGGTAATTCACACTTTGGAGCTGAGAAAAGCCTCAAGGCAAAGCTTCAGCAATTCAGACATAGTCCCTCTAGGGTAATTAGACTGGAATAATGTTTAATACATCAATTTATTAATAATTAATGTTTTAGGCCTCACAAGGTCAACAAACTTTCCATCAGCATAACTTCACCCAATAAACTACTAATTGGCTGCATTCCTTCCTGTCTTGATTAGTGGCAGTTTAATCTTCATACTATACTGGTTAGAACTTCTAAAGATTTCTTCATGGAGTCCTGCCATACAGGCCACATCAGTTACCACAGTATTTGTGGGGGCATCTGTTCAAGACTGGTCAACTTCACTACTGACATTGCCATCACTAATGTTGCTGAAAAAAACGAAAGAGAATCAGAAAATCCTTAGTTGTGAAGAACCCACAAAAATCACTGACTTCAGCTCCTGGTGCTACACAGGACAGCCCCAAGAATCCCACCATGGGACTGAGAGCCCTGTCCAAACATTCCTTGAGCTCTGTCAGGCTTGGTGCTGTGATCACTTCCTTGGGGAGTCTCTTCAATGCCCACCTGCCCTCTGGGGGAGAGCCTTGTCCTTATAGCCAACCTAAAGTTCCCCTGACACAACTTCAGCCATTCCCTTGAGTGCCACCACTGGTCACCACGGCAGAGATCAGTGTCTGCCCCTCCACTGGCCCTCATGAAGAAGCTCCAAGATCACAATAATGTCTGCCTTCAGTCTCCTCCAGGCTGAGCAAGCCAAACCTGACCTCAAGTACTCCAAATGGCTTCCTCTCCAGACCCTTCACAATGTTCCACATGATACTATCAGAACACAATTATGTCCACAGAGAGGGGGAAACCCAGTTCCTCTCGTTTGGGAAAGCACTGAAGACAGCTCCAATCCGGTCGTGCCGGGGGCAGGGGCTGTGTGCCACCTGCCCGGCCCAGGGACAGCGCCATTGCCCGGCCCAGGGAAGATGTCCCCGCCTGCACCTGCCGCTGGTCAGACCGGCCACGGCTTAAAGGATCGACAGCGCCCCTTCGGCCTCGTGCTCGCTCAGGGGCTTTTATCGGGCAAAGGCATTTTCATTTCGTGCGTTCCGCCATGAGAAACCCCAGGTCACAGCAAGTCCCCGCACTCACGCGGAGCGCCACCCCACCGCCTCACCACTCTCAGGGCAGCGGGGAGCGCGCACGGCACGACGCGCACGCGCAGCGCCCTCTCGGCCAGGAGTTACGTCACTGGGCGGAAGTAATCCCTCGAGATGCTCACGTCAGGAGGCTTCCGGGACAACCAACCGGAGCCTTAAAGGGGCGCAGCAGCTCCGGGTAGTGGCGGTCCCGGGCTCGGTCGTACCGGTGTCTCCACGATCGGCCAGACGGCACCGCTCGAACAGGGCCACAAACCGGCTGAGGCGGGCTCCGGCCCGCGGAAGGGAAAGAGCGCGGGGGCGGGGCCGCAGGCAGCCAACCAATCAGCAGCCAAGAGCTTCCCAGCCGCCCCCAATCAGAAGTACCGGTTCCCAAAACAATCGCGGCGAGCCAATCGGAAGCCCGCGCCGCTCGCGCTCGGCTCAGGCCGCCCCCGGGCTGTGCCCGCGGCCTCCCGGCAGCAGGGGGCGCGCGGGGGCGGCGGCGCTGCGCGGGCGGCGCGGAGGAGGCGCTGCCGCCGCTCTCGGTGTCGTTATCGCCGTCGCCGCTGTCGCGCCCGTCCCGCCGGCCCCGCCTCCCGCTGCGCTCCCGCGGCCTCACAGCAGGTACGGGCGGGGGAGGGACAGACACACCGCATCCCGGTGCCCGCGCGGCGCCCTCCGCCCGAGGACGGAGTGCTCGGACGCGGCCGGCCCTGTTGCCGTTCCGCCCCGCTCGGGGCGCGGGGAGCCGGTCCCGCCCGTCCCTTCCCACGCCGCGGGGCCGCCTCTCTCCGCCGAGGTTGAGCCGCGGGCTCGCCGCGCCCCTCCCGCCGGGGGTCGCGTGTCCTCCCGGCCGTGGCCGCTGTCGGTCCCGCCGGAGCCGCGGCCGGGCCGGGCTCCCCGGAGAGCTCTCCGCGGCTGCCGGAGCCGCTCGGCGCGAACAAAGAAGGCGGGCGGGCGGGCGCGGCGCGCTGGGGCAGCGCAGCCCGCGGCTCCGGAGCTCTCCTGTTGCGCCGTGAGCGGAACAAACCCCCGAGAGCGCTGACAGCGGCCGGGCCGGGGCCCGTGCCCTGCGCGCGTTCTCCGGGAGGAGTTCTGGGGCTGTCCGCGCTCTCAGGTGCGCGGTACCTCTGTCGTTCCTGCAGCCCAGGGAAGGTGCCTGCGCTCCGTGCCTTCGGTGTGCCCGGCAGCTCCGGCGGGCAACGCTGGAAGTGTTTTGTTACGGAAAGTCAGAACTGTCTTACAGGAAGTGGGAAAGAAACCCCAAACCAACCCCACAACCAAAACCAGCAGCGAAACTCGAATATTGTCGATTGTAGTGACCAAAATCGAGTATCAAAGTTTATCTTGGTTTAAATCCTGTTGATAAATCTGGATTTATTGGTAAGATGCTCTTCCTGCGGTTAGGTTTTTGGATCTATTCTTTACTGAAGTATCTGAGAGAACTGTAAACTGAAGTCCTCCAGCCCTGCTTCTTAATCTCCTAGGGAAGTGAAATGACTTCACAAAGCGTATTTGTTCTCTTCTGTTTCTTACATGGATTTTAAAAAAATGTAGCAAAGCTGTGAAAATAGAAAATAAATCTTGAAAACTGTCTTATTATTTTGTGGATAGGGAAGAAGTGGGAGGAGATGCAACTAAATACCGAAGGTAAGTAAAGAGTGGAAAATTAATACATCTTAAATTACTGCTATATGTGCTGGTTTTTTTTATTCAGATATTTCGTTTTTACTACCATCGGGTTCACTTTTTAGAAGTAAAAGGTGGAACTGTGTTTTGTCTGTGTTAGGTGGTTTTTTTGAGCTGACATAACAGACTTCTGTGATTGTGGCCAGAAGTACTAGATTAAGCAGAGAAGTTAACTTGGGACTATTGAAATGTGTGTTGTGTAATGTGTTTCCTGTTTCTCCCCCAGCATCATGCATGTTTGAAATGTCTCATAAAACAGCTCAATTATGCGTAAACATGAACATAAAGTCTTTTGTGCTTTTGCTGTCTGAGGAACACATTTGTTTTGTACAGATTTTGTATTAAGGTTTCTATTTTCCCTTCCTTATTTTGATGCCAGTCCCAGTCTGATGAGCAGTTTACAATCTCTGTAAGGCATGCTTTAGTTTGCACAGTAGTTTATTATCTGTAATTATGCTTTTAATCTGTCATATGACTGGGATGGGCAATAAAACGGCTTTGACAAGTCTGCTTTCTGGCAAGGCTCATTCTGTGATGGCACGTGCTCCATGTCCAGCTGGATCCTCGGCTGGGCTGGAGCTGGGGTAGTGGAGGTGTTTGTGGGGGTGGCATCTCTTGAGGAAGCCATTTGGGTGTAGCTGCGCTGTGCCACTTCTCACTTGGCTCTGTTGAGGCAGAGTTCTGCTTTCCTGTGCCCCTGGGGTGGGAATTACACGTCTGTAGCTTTTGGATCCAAATGCCTGAATGTATTGTGCTTGTTGCTGCTGTTAGTGGTGCAGGAGGTAGCAGCAGAGACAGGCCTGTTTCTAGTAGGTGAGAGGGATTTATATTGCCTGCCTCTTAGTCATGTCTTCACTCCTGCTGTTCTGTTTCAGTCTTGCTCTTCTCTTTGCAGTATTCCCTTTATTCTAGGGTATAACTTCTCTCCTCTGGAGTACAGTTTTCCTATATGGAAACAGTGGCAAACTGTTGTTGGTGTTGTTTTATAACACAGGCTTCTGGTTTCACAGATTCTGACCAAAGTTTTGACATATGATGGTGTATCTACATATGATGGGTTCATTTCTATCAGACTGAGGGGGCGAAGGCTGGTGCCAGGATACAGGAGGGGTCTCTTCACTTGGCGTGATTTTATTCGCTAATTCAGCTGAACCACTGAGGCTGGTAGAGATCTGTCAGCTGCAGTAATGAGAAAATTTTCCATGTGCTTTGTGCTGTATAGAAATTTGAGATTCCTGTAAATGTGTTAATAGTGAACTCGGTGATACATGGCAGAGGATACGCTCCTGTAATTTACGAGAACACATCTATGCACTATCCTTGCTTTGTAAGTTTTAGTTCTTTGGAGAGAGAAGTGAAGCAAGGATCACTGACTTCCAGTTGTTTTCAGCATTTAGGCTGAAGGTGCAGAGAATACTTAATTGAGGCATTTATAATAGCCAGAGCCATAAATATCTACAACAAACAATAACAGAATTATTTGGTCAGCTGAAGGTCATTAATTCCCAGAGGGAGTAGTTCTGGTCCCCAAATGATGTTATGCATTTTCACAGCATTCTCCATTCATCTCTACAGAAGCAATGTGCAAAACTGTGCAAGAGAACAGATCAGTTCTTCCCAGTTCCCTGTCCTGTGGGACTGAATTTTCAGCTGGGGGAACTTGTGTGCATGGCAAACTGTAGGTAGTTGCTCTCTGGTCCTGCAGTTTAGAAATGGAAAGGCTCAATTCTCTATAGTTTTACACAGTGGAACTTTGCTTTTTACAATAGCCAAGGCCTATATTCTTTCTACAGAAAAACTCAATTTCTACCTTCTGTATGAATTAATTCACTTGTGTTCCAGAGATTTGCTTTGCAAAGGTAGTCTAACAATTGTACTCAACACCCTTGTGCCTGAATATGACACTTGGTATATGCTAGATAATGGGAATGTCCTTTAAAATGTATCTTGAATGCCTTAGAAGTGCTAAAATCCAGAAAAGAAAAAAACTGTCTTGCCGTGTGCTGGAAGGAAGGCACATAGCCAGTGAGAGCCATAAGTGCTTTGTGAAAGGGAGAAGTGGAGGTGTGCCTGCCTGCCTGCACTGCCCAGACCTGCTGTCCTTCGTACCTCCTGTTTGTCTGGGTGCACCCTGGTCACAAAAGGTGTCATGGCTCCTGGCAGAGTCCTTTCTGTCACTTGGCTTCTGCTTCTGAGAAACAGGATAGTTAAAGCCTGTGGTGAAGATAAAACGGGATGAATTGTTCTTTAGGATGTCTAGGCAGCTTTTTTTTTTCTTTACTACATTTAGTAAATTGAGCTTGTATAGCTCAGTTCTCTCATAGCAGCAGTCGTAGAAATACTGCATTTAATGCAACAATTAGTTCTGCCTGTGATATTAATTAGTGATACATTAGTTTGCTTTTTTTTTCAGCTCTTGTACTATTTTTTTCTTTATTTTAGGTTGTTTCTCTCAGTGAATTGCACAAAGAGTAAAACAAAAGTACAGGCTTTGCTTTTCTTGTAATTTTTCAAGCGTCAAAGCAACATTTAGACTGTTTAAATGTATGTATGTACTTAAGTTTATTTTTCTTTAAATTCTGTCCCTGCAAATGGGGAAGGGCTGTTGCTACATAGGCAGGGGTTTCATCTTGCAAAATGAATAGATGACATTAAAAGGCCAGACATGATTGTTGTTTGCCTTGTATGTAACTGAGTCTTAACGTGTTTCTGGTTGCTTCAGAGGATATAAGGAATATTTGGGTGGAAAAATTACTGTTAAAGGTGCTATCTGAAACAATTTTAAATTCTCTTCAAAATCATCAAATATTGGGGCAATTTGACTGTCAAAAAAAGGTAATTTTTGCCTGAATATCTTGTGGATGCAAATGAGTAGGAAAAAATTAGAAAACTGCTTTGAATAATAAATTTCAGCACTCACATATGTTCATAATTTGCTAGCTATTCTTATGTATGCAATGCCAGTTTGTAACATTTCCATTAACTTTATTCGTGTGGAGAAATGGGATCTGCACATCCTCGAGTTCGATATATCATTCTTTAATGTTCTGTTAGAGGTGATAAATAAATGCAGGTGTCACTTTGTTGGACTTTTCCCATGGCATTGAAAGTTGAGATGGAATACTGGGATTTCTTAAAATTAGTAAAGCTGATTCTAATTTTGCCCAGATTGTGGCAATACACAACACTCTTGTGTGGCAAGGTATTACATTGTCAGCTGTTAATTCACAGGGCTAAAATGTGTTTTTCAAAGCTTACTTCTGAGGGAAAACATGTGCTACTATTCCTGCTTTCTTTGGTTAGTGTGATAATTTCTTAGTCTTACAAGACTTTGTTTGAATTC